TCAGCTCCTCTGTCTGCAAAAAGAAAACATCATTCACCCTGAGCAAAAGTCCCTGAGAGGCAGGACTCCACGGTCCCTGCCCCCCTGAAGGCCACCCACCTTGCTGAAGAACCAGTCCTCCGCGTCCTTGCGGTTCTTCTCGGCTATCTTCTCGTACTGGTCACGCATCTCGTTCAGGATGCGGCTCAGGTCCACGCCAGGGGCGGCGTCCATCTCCACATTGACGTCTCCACCCACCTGGCCTCTCATGGAGTTCATCTCCTGCACAACCAGAGGACAGGCCACATTCAGGAGCCTCACCGTGGCAGCCTGTCGGGGTTCCCCAGGCGGAGGTGTCCCTGGCCTGAACATTGCCCTCAATTCCATCTCTTCCCTCCCAAATTAACTTAATTCTTCAAGTTGATTTTTCCACTTAGCTCTCACCTCCTCGTGGTTCTTCCTCAGGTAGGCCAGCTCCTCCTTCAGGCTCTCGATCTGCATCTCCAGGTCAGCTCTGGCCAGGGTCAGCTCGTCCAGCACCCTGCGCAGGCCGTTGGTGTCGGCCTCCACGCTCATGCGCAGGTTCAGCTCCGTCTCGTACCTGCAATGACCCGAGAGAAAAACGAATGAGAGACCCATCCTGACCACACGGAAGGCTTTGTTCTCTTCTCCCTGCAGCTTCTTCCCAAAGCCAGCACCCCATAAGCGGTTTAGGAAGCCAATATCAAAAATGGCGTGGTTGGACACAGTACCCATCGATTGCTCAGATTTGAACATTCCTGGGATGGGCAGAGAGTAATGCAGTTCATCCTGCTGCAGAATTCAGGGAAGGGAGATGCTTCTGGACTCAGCCAACCAATGGCACAGAACACCTCCAAATATGACTACCTCCGAAACTTCGTGGGCATGTGGGGCAGTGGGGAATGCCTCTCGCTAAAATAGTGGCTCTCAAACCTGGCTGTGAATCAGAATCACTAGGTTAGTCTGTTAAAAATAACTGGATCAGAACTCAGAGGGCGGGGCCCAGGAATCTTGTATTTTTACAAGCACCTTAAAGGGTTTTCACATAGCCATCCTGGCACTCATTGACTCTGTATAGGGAACACGGCCCCACCCTGGGAAGATTGGATGTTCTGGGCCACTACTGCAAACTCACTTGGTGCGGAAGTCATCTGCGGCCAGGCGGGCATTGTCAATCTGCAGGAGGACATTAGCATTGTCCACAGTGGCCGTGAGGATCTGCAATGGAAAGGGCACAGGTCATTGGTCGAATGGCCATCCGTAGCCAGGCTTCACTGCCGCTGGCGACAGACCTTTGCTTTCATGCTCTTGCCTGAGTTCCCCCTTGTTCCCACGAGCTTTTGCCACAACAGCCTAAAGGGTAACCTCCAGTTTCGAGCTTTGACCCAGGACTTTGCTGACTCAGAGTCAGCAGAGGAGATAGAAAGAACCCTGGCCTTAGAATCGAAAGCTCTTGAGCTCTGGTCCGGTTTTTCCACTGACTCGCTGTAAAACCGGAAACAGATATCAGGGCCTCAAGTCCCCTACCTACAGATGAGACCCGATCCCCCATCCGAATTCTCCTCTCTGCATAAGCCAGCGCTGCCCGTCCTCTGCAGGCACATACTTCCCTTTTTAAGCCCTCAGAGCATGGAACCTCAGATGGGGCTTTCCTAAAAGATGAGACCCAGCTGGCAAAAGAAAAAGATGGATTGAACTCTGGATTGGCTGGAGTTTTCTCTCTCCTCATCTAATGTCCCTAATCCACATAAGGCATCAGAGTCAGACACCAGGGGAAACAGGACCAGCAGGGAGGGCTCCTGGCGTAATGTGGGAGCAGGAAGCAGGGGACTACAGTCAGATGACAAATCTCCCAGGCTCCCTCCTGCACCGGGTCTGTAACCTGGGCCACCACTGATTGTTTGCCTCTGTGGGTTTCCCATGCCCGCCTGGCTGTGGGGAGGGGCCAGCCAGTGCCAAGGCTCATGGGCGGCAGCCGCCAAGCCCAGACTAATGAGCTAATGAATGGTTCATGCGTCTAGCCTGGTCCCGTTACAACCTCTCTCCTCCCCTGTGCTGGAGAACAGGTAGCTAGCTACCTCCTGTACTGGCAGGTGGGGCATAAGTGTTCTAGCCTCGGCTCTGCCATTAATTTACTGCGTGCCTTTGAGCACCTCTCAAAGCTTCGACTTCTTCCTCTGTGAGACATAAGGGTAGGAATTCCTTGTCTCACATGGTCTGAGGATCTGGAACCCAGGAAGGCATGAACAAGGCAAGAGGGGAAACTCTCTCCCTACTGACCAGCTCTGTTGGGGGTGTCCAGAGCCAGAGGAAGAGGTCTGTCCTGTCTAGGAATCTAAAGGTGCCAGTGGCCTGAGGCATCTATTGCTCCAGAGTCAGGTCGCTGGAATGGCACCTCCTGCTGCCCAGACCACGCACCTTGTTCCTCAGGTCCTCGATGGTCTTGAAGTAGGGGCTGTAGTCCTTGGTCTCAGCAGGGCGCTGCCTCTGGTACCAGTCGCGGATCTTCACCTCCAGGTCGGCATTGGCCTCCTCCAGGGCGCGCACCTTGTCCAGGTAGGAGGCCAGGCGGTCGTTGAGGTTCTGCATGGTCACCTTCTCACTGCCCACCAAGAGTCCATCGCCACCGCCAAAGCCACCACCTAAGCCACCACCCAAGCCACCACCTAAGCCACCACCGAAGCCGCCACCAAGGCCACCACCGTATCCTCCACCAAAGCCACTACCCAGGCCCCCACCAAAGCTGCTGCTGCTGCTGAAGCCACCGCCATAGCTGCCCCCCAGCCCATAGCCACCCCCAGAGGAGTAGCGGGAGGAGGAGACTGACAGCCCCCCGTAGGCACTGGGGGCCCGGCAGGACCCTCCAGCCAGGACAGAGGACATGCGGCTGGAGCCACCACCGATGCCACAGGAGCCCTTCATGGAGCTGGAGGAGGTAAACTGGCGGCTGTAGGTGGTCATGGTGCTGAGGAGGGAGGTGAGTGAGCGAGCAACTGGCAGAGAGAAGAGAAAGGTGCCAGGTAAGTTGGAAAAGGATGCAGGTGCTTTATACCCATGAGTAGGGGGCGGGCCTGGCACTTTCCATTCCCCTTGGCTTTCATCACCCACGGGCCAGCGCCAACTCCCAGCCAGCTCCCTCCTCTCCTCCGCCTCATCATGTCTGTCATATTTTACTGGAAACTCATTGTTTGGGATGTTTTGGGTTTCTTATCCCGCCAGGCATGATTCACATGAGAAGGTGTGGGCCTGCAGGCTACACTTTCCCATCAGCCCCTGTGAGCTGTGGACCTTAGGAGCCCACATGCTCCAAAGTGGCAGGGAGCAGGGTCTCTGCTCCATAAACCTACTTAACTAGGTAAGCCCTTGACATTCACTTAGAGGAAGCCCACCACTGCAGGTGGCACTTGGCGGGAGGAACACCAGCATGGCAAGGTCACATCAGGCACAGAGATGCCCCATCAGCATTACCATCTATAAAAAGAGATGAGAGGGTCTTGGGACCCTCACAGGTCTGACCCGCTGGGCTGTGCTAACGAGGCTATATCACATCTCTAAAGCGTCCAGCCAGTCTGGTGGCTCAGGCTTCCACCCTGATAATATCCCCATTAAAAGGAAATCCAGGCAGCTCTCCCCCCCCTGGGCACAGACCCAAAGACCCTCCACACGCCTGAGAATGAGCCCATTGAGCTGGCTGCCCACTCTGGCCAAGGGCAGGTGGTGTCACAGCCACAGCCAGAGACGTCAGCAAAGAGTATACAGTCAATGAGTCCTGGCTCTACCATTTACTCCTGTGCGACCCAAGACCGGACACTTCTCTGAGCCTCAGTTTGCTCATCTGTAAAGTGAGAGTAAATACCATACGCCCTGCCTGCTTCAGAGTCAGCTCCCGGAATCCAACTCAGCTATATGAAAGGGTTTTGTAAGCCGAGGGCGGCACCAAGCTGGTTAACACTGTCGTAGCCCAGTCTGGGCTCCCAGGAGGGCAGACGGCACCTCACCTCGGGAACAGGCCTGCTGGAGCCTTTGTGCTTCCAGCCCCAGGTCTCTGCTCAGGCCCCCAGGGCAGCCCTGGTGGGAGGGGCTGGCTCAGGCACCCTTATTGGAGCCCCTTGTGGAGCTGGGCCAAGGGATTTGGCGGGGAGGAGAGGGAATGCCAGCATCTGGACTCAAGGGTCTCAGTCTCCCAAGACTCCAAGGATTAGGGAACATTGCCAGGGGTCTATCTCTGTCTGCCTTGGAAATTTGTATATCAGGACTTCAGCAATCCCACATCTCCCAGACAACCTCTAAAGGCAGCCTCTCTGGCAGCACCCAGCCTTCCAGCCAGCCCCTCAGCTGCCCGGACCCCGGCAGGCATGTTGGGAGGAATGTGGTCGTGTCTGGGGCTGCCTGACGCGTCCCATCTCCCCAGACAGGCCCCGACAGCCCCCGCTGGAGGCTCCAACGCTCTCCCTGAGGATCGGCTGCTCCCAGAAGAAAGGCGGAGCCTCGCTCTCCCCCCTCCCTCACTACCATCAAAGCAGATGTCAGGGAGCCCCCGCCCCCACCAGGCTTAGCCGCTCAGAGGACAATGCTGAGACAGCCACTTGAGGCTGTGGGCTCCCCAAATCTGCCACGCCAAGAACTCGCAAGGATGTGAGTAAGTGAAGGCCCCACCCAACCAGCACTTCAGTTCCCCTTCCAGAGGACAGTCCCCGACCCGGCCCAGCCCTATGATTCCCCAGTGAGGGGCAGCGAGGACTTGGGCTGAGGGACCAATGCTTGTGTTAGGAGGCATATTGCTGTTGGCAGAAAGCAGTACCCAGAGGGACCCAAGGAGCAGGAGTGGGTGCAGAGCCCAACACCGGCTTCCCCAGTGCTGCCTACCACCCCATCTCCCCACGAGGAACCGTGGCAAGATGTCGTCGAGCGTGGGACACAGGAAAAGCTCTCTTCTTCCCTCACCTGATTCATGGAACCCAAAAGAGGCTCCCTTCTTGCCCCTCTCTAAGGGAAATTCCAAAAGATAAAGAAGGTAGGGAACCAATGACACATAAACTCATGCACACTATCTAAGAAGAGACCTTTGCCAACCCTTCCTACCCCCACCTTGGAACCCCAGTGTGGAATACAAGTCTGATCTTCTCCCCCAACCAGAGATTAGAACCCTGGCTCCGATCCTGAGGCCAACCCTCCTTCCCCTGCAGACATGGAACCAGGCACCAACGGCCCAGCCTGGTGCTTGTGACATTTTGAAGAGAGGCAGTTTTCTGGGGCATCAGGGGTTAATGCAATGCAGGGGTGGCTTGTGGGGGCCTGGGTATCCCACCTCTGGATTCCTAGGCTGGCTTTGTGTAGATGCCATTACCTGACCCTCCTCCAGCTGCCCCAGGAAGGAACGGTAAAGGAGGAGTCTAAGGAGGTGTCTCTTGTGGTTGGTGAGTCTCCCTGAGCCAGCCTGTGGCGGGGCAGATGCCAGTCCAAACAGGTGAAGCAGTGGGGCCAGGCAGCCCCCCACAGAGCCCACATTGTGTGCTGAGGACCAGGCAGGGTGGGAAGGGATGGGATCCTGAGGAAGGAGGGGACCTCGGGACATCCTTGTCTCAAGAGGGAGGCATAGCCCCTGCCCTCAGAGCTCAGTCTAATGGACGAGACAGTCCCTGCCTGTAGGAAGCCCCCAGCCTGAGAAGGAAGAGAAAATACACGTCAAAATTACTTAAGATGTGAACAAAAATAAGAGAAGTGCAATTCGTATGTATTCGTTTCCGGGACTGCCATCCAAATTACCACAAATTTGTAGTTTAAAACAACAGAAAGCTATTCTCTCTCAGTTCAGGAGTCCAGAAGTCTGAAATCAGGGTGTTGGCAGGCCACGCTCTCTCTAAGGTGCTAGGGGGGAATCCTTCTTGCCTCTTCCTGCTTCTGCTGGCTTCTCGCGTTCCTCGGTTTGTGGCAGCAAAACTCCAACCTCTGCCTCCGTCTTCACGGGCCTTCCTCTCTGTGTGTGTCCGTGTGTCCTTTTCTATCTCTGATAAGAACATTCATTTGGCTTAGCGCCCACCCAGATCCAGTATGATCTCATCTCAATTCTTACCACAATTACATCTGCAAAGACCCGTTTTCAAATAAGGTCACGGTCTGAGATTCCAGGTGGACGTGAATTTAAGGGGGACACTGTTAAAACCACTACACCATCTAACAGACTGGCAGCTATCGATGTTGCGGAGGCATTGGTGAAAACTTGGCGGAGAGGGGGTGTGCTAAGATGCAGGCAGGGCCTATCTGGAAGGCTTCTGGGAGTTGCTTTTAGCTCAAGAATATAAGGATGCTGGGGAGTGGGCAGCAGGAGGGCGCAGAATTCTCTGGCTCCTTCACAAATAGACAACTGCTTTGGGAGAGGTTGTTTTTTTTTTTAATTTAACTTTTAATTTGAAATAACTTTAGACTTTCAGAAAAAGTTGCAGAAGTAGTACAGAGTTCACGTGTCCCCTTCACCCAGCTTCTCCCAATGTGAACATATCGCATAAACACTGTACAGTGATCAAAACCAATAAATTAATGTTGACCCAATGTTATGAATTAACCACAGACTTTATTCAAATTTCACCAGTTTTTTCCATTAATGGTCCTCTTCTGCGGCGGGATTCAGTCCAGGATTCCACGTCCCATTAGTTGTCACGTCTCCTTTGCCTCCTCCCATCCGTGACAGCTCCTCAGTCTCTCCTTGTCTTTCATGACCTTGACACGTTTGAGAGTACTGGTTGGTAGATATTTCGCGGAACATCCCTCACTTTGGGTTTTCCTGACATTTTTCTCATCGCCAGATTGAGGTTACACGTTGTGTCCTTTTCAGTGCACGGTCTCAGGCACATGAGACACACGTTCGCATGTATCGTGACTGATGACATTACCCTCGTCCATGGGCTAACGTGGCGTTTGCTAGGTTTCGCCACTGTAAGTTACTATTTTTCGCATGGAAATTAATAAACACCTCGAGGAAGATACTCTGAGACTGTACGATTTTCCTGTTTCTCCTTAAACTTTCACCCACTAGTTTTTGCATCCTTCAGTGGAAGGAAAGAGTTCATGACACCCAAGAGCCTCACTGGCCTGGACTCCTTGAGGGCCTCTGGCTCTTAGGCGAGACTTGTGGGGAGGGGTGTCCGGGACCCTTTTCTTCCTCTTTTGTCCAGCCCCTAAGCCAGATTGGGCCTGTTTAAATTCTTTCTGTGCCCAAAAACATTTCCACGAAGGCTTCCCTTGAAGAGATACATGTTTCTCTAATCATTGACATCTAGAGTTTTTTCTAGGCCTCTACCAGCCCCCAGGGAAAGCAGGAGACAGTCAGGGTCCTCCCCATGTCACAGATAGGAAGTCTGAGGTCCAGAAAGACTTACAGTCAAGTGATCAGTTGGAACCCTACTTGTGACTCTCCGACCCCCAGGGTCTGCCCAGGGCTGGGCTTCTCCTCTCTTCCGGGCAAATTCCCCAATCCCCTGCCCTTCCTTCCCTGTCCCTCCACACCTTCCCCTTCCCAGCCCCCTTCACCTGTTCATCCCTCTCTCCGCCACGTCCCAGCCACCTGTGTATAGTCAGGGTAAAGTCTCATATTGCTGAGGGCTGTCCCTTGTAGAGACAATGTTCTAGGGTTGAGCTGACCCGGACCTCAGGCTCTGACGCCAGAAGGCAGGGCTAGCATGGGGGCCGGGAGGAGGCTGGTAGGCAGGATGGCAGGCACAGGAGGCAATCAGGAGCCTGGAGCACCTCCATGAGGCCCTGGGTCCCCTTTCCCCTAGAAAGCTCTGCCACCCACTGGTTTCCCAAGCCAGCCAGTCCATCTGGGCCAAGTGTCCTTGTGAGAGCCTGGGCTGACACAACAGATGGGCCGAGCCAATTGTTTCAGTGCCCATGGCCTCGTCTGTACCTGCCAGCTGCTGGAACTGACAGAACAGAGATTGACAACACTGCATTATAGATGCAGAGGTTTCAGAGGTTAGGGAAATGCCTAAGGCCCAGGCAAG